CAGAAGGATTACGGTCCGATGTCATCCGTTGGGGTCATTCTTCCAAAGTAGCCTGTTAGTTAGTCGAACAGCGGGGGTTAGTCGAATATCCGAAGTCGCGGTCCCCTCTGCCCACGCCTTTGTCCAGAGGTGCCACCGCACCTTGAAGAGGGCTAGAGAAGCCATCCTCCGGGTGGGATCACACACAAAGGCCCAGGCCGATCGCCACCGGTCAAAGCGTGTCTCCAAATTAAAGCCAGTTTTTCGTTCTACCATTAATCCGCCTGCCCCAGTTCCCCCACCGCCGTGACTCGTAGATGGGGGAACTCACTTATTCGGTAAAAAGCATTCTGGACTCGAGGCGGAGGGGATGCGGGTTTCAGTACCTGGTGGACTGGGAGGGTTACGGTCCGGAGGAGAGGAGTTGGGTTCCTGCTAGGGACATATTGGATCATTCGCTTATCGATGATTACAATCGACAGGTAGGTTCCTCTGGAAGCGCCAGGAGGCACTCCTAGGGGGAGGGGTACTGTCACGGTTCATGGATCCGTGTGTTCATTGCTGCGTGCCTGTGTATTGTTACCTGTCTGATTGCTCGTTCAGCGTTGCTCCGGCAACCGCGGTGCTGACGAGCTAATCAGCGCGGCTGCACCTGCCGCTCGTTCTGTCCTGTCTTTATCTGTCTCGTGTGTTGTACTGCATGTTGTCAGATCGTTGTTTGTCCTTGCTCATGCTTGTTGTTCTCTCCAGAGTCCGTGTGCCCGGTGGATCCCTGCCTCGGATTATTTCCAGTGTGGGAAACCATCGAAGTCTCGCTGATTCCACTGCCCTAGCTGGATCGGGTCAGGGTTTCGCAATCACCGTGTGTTCACGTCTACTCACCTGAATCCTCACGTTTGGCTTGCGATCCTGTTTACTGTCACAATAAATCACTTCACTTGCAACTGGATTCTGAGTTATCTATCCGTAACAGAGGCAGTGGAATAGGGAAAAAATGGAATGCATTTTTAAAAAGTTCAACTTATGCTGCAAGTTCAACTTATGCAGACTTTTAAACCTGTGGCAGATCATCCCGACTTCAGCATGAAGCATCATTTGACGTAATTTCCAAGATGGCGGCAACCAATGAGCATGAGAGGGCTTTTTTTTATGGAACATAAAAATACATTTTATGTATATGCTGCATGTATACATGCATTACATGATTGACTGGCTTTTCATAAATCCTGTTCCATGGCCTCATGGGACAGTAAAGTGTCCATCTGATACGCACATCAAAATCAAAACAACTGCAGACTTTTTGCCTACTGTTTTATGAATACTGTGAATTCAGGCATACTTATCTATTCACATTTTTTTGCCTACTAAAGTAAGAAAGCAAGCCTTGTCTCGAGCGTTGCGATTTTAGAATGCCACGTCATGCGCAAAATGCGAGTGAATGGTCACATGTCCATCTAGTGCATGCTTACAAGAACAATGCATGTTTAGAAGAATAATGGAAATGCAGTGGAATGCAAATTTGCGGTCTGTGTAAAGCAATCCAATCCAATAATATGTTAATGGACTTATTTGGAATCCAGTAATTTTACACTATTTATTTATAGATGTCCATTAGAATTTTTATGACTATTGAGGCAAAAAATATTTTCCATGTCAGCTTTGTGCCTCACTGTTACTGTTTACATTATTGATGCAGAACAAAGCAGCATTCAGTCTTTGTTTATCAACAGAGAGTGGGGCAGAGGGTGAAGGAAGTAATTTTCTTTGAATTTTCATATAACCTTTTATATCACAACTGCCTACTTGATATATCAAAAACATTTGGATTACTTTGCCATACTGTTATCTTGTGGTTAACAAAGTAATAAAGTTTTTTTTTTTTAATCTGTTGTCTGTTTGGCACAAAATATGCTAAATATAATCGCTGTATAATATAGACATGTTCAGTTTCTAGAATACTGGCCTGTGCTATTGATTTTGTTAGACATCCAGACATTGTAGCCACCCAGACTCCATTGTGTGACCTGACATTCCAGTCTTGGCGCATCCTGAACCCACAGTTTTCAGTCTTCTCCTTGGAGACGAGGTGACAGAACAGAAAATAAGCAACGTGGTCATCTGGGATTGCAAGTCAGCATCAGGGAGGAAGGGAATTCGTCCAAGATGTCCCTAAACACACTGCAGAAAAGTGTTCTAATGCAAGTGTGTAATGGCTTCTGACCACTTCACAGATATGAATTCGCCTTCCCTACTGCGTATTCCCAATGCACAGGGAAACTGATTTATATGTGCTGTGAAAGATATGCTGACACTGCAGTTATTTCTCCCTGACTTTAAGATTGCATTAACTCGTAGCTGGAAACGCAAATCCATCCCATGCTGTTTTTGACCACCATTCTGATATGCACTTTTGCTCTCACGTTTTCTCACGTTTTGCTCTCACGAATACGTTTTGCAGCACGTATTCTGCATGACCATATTCTACATCCCTAATCCTACCCAATACCTAAACTTAACAACTACCTTACTAACTAATTATAAGCATCAAATTAGGAGTTTATTGAGGCAAAAGTCATAGTTAATGGTTTTTCAATAGTGAGAAGTGGACTTTAAAATAAAGTGTGACCATAAGTTTCCATTTGTTAGCATTAGTTTGCTAACATAAAAAACAGAAAAATACCTCTGAATCTTATTTAATTTCAACTTCTATGAATACATTATTAAAATCAGTTATTGTATCTGTTATTTTATATTTAATGAACGAACCTGTGCTAACATGAACTAACAATAAACAGTTGTGTTTTTATTAACTACACTACAAAAAAAGTGCTTGGAAAACACTTTCAATTTCCCAGAATGCATTCGCTTTGTTGTATTTATTTGAACAGCAATTCAGTGAATTTGTCTTGTTGTTCCTTCTGAGAACCAACCTTGCAGTAGACATTACTCATAGACATTCAGACCTGCCATAGAAGACACAAGCAAGGACCTTGGATAAACTAAATGAAAAATGTACATTTAAATGCTATTTTCATAAACATGCGAAGTTTACGTTATAATGTAAAGTTAGAAGTAGTGTTGGTTTTGTGATCAAGCCAAAGCTCCTTCTAATATGATACGGTCATATTGAACAATACAAGTATTGAGCAGGAAGGTCCACTGCACGTCCAGATGTTTTTGAGTTGAATCCAGGCCAGTGCAATGAATCCATCTCCTCTTTCAAGCTGTCAAATACTAATTCTGTTGCTCTTATCTCCTTAGAGATTTTACTGGCTTTGTTTATCAGGCTTGTTTGTGCAATGCATTTGACACACCATTTGTCACAGCTGCAGGTTCACTTGATGTAGCACTGCTTCATTACGGAGTTATTGTGACCTTATGTGACCGTGGATTATGGAGCACAGATGTAGAGATTGTCCACTTTGCAACGTTCAAGACTTTCAAATGCTAAGAGCGAGTCCTTATTTATTAATAAGTGTAAAAATATTATTACTCATCTTTAAATAATTTACAAATTGCTGTATGAACTTCTAAATGGATGTAACCCAAAAGGTTTATGATAAAACAAAACAACTGTCAGGATTATTTCAAACAAAGTGATTGGACAGTGAATTTTCAAGAGTGTTTCCAAGACTGACCTGGAACGCCCCGAGAGTGATGCATTCTTTGTTTGTTCATCAAACAATCAAACTGCTTTTATACTCAGGCACATGATGCTTTTTTGAAGCCTGGCGCTACCTCTAATCATGTTTTCTAAAAGAGAGTGCAGTTAAGGGAGGCCTAGGCATGAGTTTTAATGGACTCTAATGGGCTTGTTAGACCTTGGGGAAAACCATTGTGATGTACACTACATGGAGGTGATTCGATCCTGTTTGCAGGTAAGTTCAGTTTTAAGTGGCTGTCTGCTATAATATAAGTAGTTGAAGGCCGTTGTCATCACTGCATTATTGGCAACAGCATGATTGTGTTACAAATTCCATATTAGTTATTAGTCTTAGCTCAAGTAGATAATACGGACAAAAACAACCAAAGTTTTACTAGATTGTTGTGGTGTTTATGGTTTTTAACTTTAAAACAATCAGGAACACAAGTAGCTAATGTTTCTTACAGTATAGTTTTAAATATTTTTTCCCCTAAAGATGTTTTTGTTTGTGGCGAGGTCCCATTTACTCTCTTCCCAGCATGCATTGGGACATAAATTCTTAATATGGTAGCTCTGCTTGACCTTTTGCTGGTTTTATTTACAATAGTCTTGTGGATTTGGTCACATTTAGAAATCTGCTGTCTAGCGATGTCTGGAATGAGTTTATTCCTCTAGGGTACGTTGATTGTTACACTTATTGTGTTCATGGATTTATTTATTTATTTATGGTCTTATTAGTGTAGGTTGGATCTTGTCAGTATCGTAAGGCAAGCACTATGATTACAGACAGTACATTTCTATTTAATGAGAGAATTGCACAATTTGCATGTACTGCAATTTTGTTAAAATGTACATGTAGCCTACGTTTTCAAACATTTGTAAATGCTACTAAAACACGCTCGTGATAAAGTCGCTTTGGCCTGGAAGTAACCATAGCAACAGCGCGCTGTAAAGTAGCCTATCTGTATCTAATAGTAGGCGCTACGTGACAAAATGTAATTATTTATCACTATAGTATACATTTACGTTGTGGGTATATCACGGTTTCGGACACAGCTACTGTTTAAAAAGTACTGCGTTAACATCTGACATTTGGCTAAATGTGCTAGTTTCGACGAACTTCTGTTGTGTTCTGTAGCCAATATTCTGTTGTGTGGGTACAAACACTCACTATAAGGTCCTCCAGTCTGTTAATAAATATACCCTTTTTATTTATACAAATTCTTTAAAACTCTTTACCAACCCCCACCTCACAGGGTAGGAAAACATGATGCACAAATCACTGCCGGTACTCACTCAAACCAAAAATACAAAACTCAAATCAATTCAAAACAAACAAAATAAACTCAAAGAAACGAGACAAATTAAATCAAAACCATGGCAATCTGTCCCAAAAATACACAAAATACAAACATTAACAAAGTCAAATCACATAAAGCACGTCTAAATCAATTCCTTTTCAATAATCGTTCCAAAATAACTTCAAATACACTTCATACCTGTTAGCACAGCAATATTCAATTCTGACCACTCTGGTCGTTGAGGTTCTCATGGGAGTGCATCAAATCTACAAATATACACATGTAAACCCATACACAACATTCCTGACAAAGGTAAATCACATAAAACACATCTAAATCATTCATAAATAACTTCAAATACATTTCATACCTGTTAACATCATATTCAAATTCAGCCGCTCTGGTCGCTGAGGTTCTCAGGGCGCACACCAAATCTATAAATACACATCTTTAAACCCATGCACAATATTCCCGTTGTCACCCAAAAAAACCCCTCAAATTACGATTTTACTCACCCTATCACAATTTATGTGTGGCGTTCTCACCGCATTTCATTGTTCTGTGCATCACTTAATTTGTTCCGTGTGTGTAAATGTCTAAATAGCCCAAAGTTCCTCCCCCCACCCCACTTAACCAGAGCGCTCAATACTACATCCACCTCCACCTTGTAAAATCATCGTCCCGATGATCACACCATTACATTTCTTTTACACTTCTAAAACTTTATACAAATTATCCTTCCATCACTTCTTTTATTTTATAAATCACCTGCAATAAATGATTTAAGACTGTCATAATTCCCTGAGACTCTCCATGACTCAACTCTACAGGGATTGCTGCAGCTTCCATACCTGCACAGATCGTGGCTGTCTAAAAGGATTGCTGTGCTGTCCTGCTGTGGCCCTCTGGGAGCGTCGAACTGTGCCTTCAAGCCCAGCGGTTTGTACAAATCGCTCCTCCACTCTGAGGCCTTCCTCTCCTGAATGCTGTTCATTACTGTTCTTACTTTAGGCTGAACGTCTTTAGACACAATGCAACGGAGACAATGTTTGCAAAAATTCTGCACATCTTGGTACATCCCTGGCCAATAAAAGCGTTGACGTATTAATTTAAACGTTCGGTCAATCCCCATGGCCTTGGTGGTCGTGCAGCTGACTGAGTACCTCCTGTTTTAACACTTGAGGTAACAGAAGCTGTTTGACCCAGCCCCCTCTAGCATCTGCAACCATTCTATACAGGATCCCTTCAAACTCTTCCACTTTAACCCATTGTCTTTATCCCATTGTCCAGGTATTTCATGTAGGTAGTTTTAGTCACATTTTACATCATATTTTGTGAAGCTATTTCCTAAATACATTTTGGTGTGAAATTCAAATTTCTTCTCTCTGAAACCAGTGTCCAGGTATTTCATATGGATTGTTTTAGTCACATTTTACATATTTTGTGAAGCTATTTCCTAAATGGGTTGTTGACATATATAGGCCTACCATACATGTGTCCTATGGTGTAACAGCAAATTTTAGAAAACAATAATCATTATTAATAATTAATTTCTTGTTAATAATTGTTAATAATATACAAATAGCATAAGAGAGATTTTTCTTCATTGTTAGTTTTTTTTCTAAATTTTTGCCGTCACACCATAGGACACATTTACGGTATATTTGTCAACTACCCAAGTACCACTCATAGACTTAAATATTAGTATTGTAATTTTATTATTATTCTTTAAAATAAAATAATGATCATTGTTGTTGGTATTTTTTAAACATTTTTTTATATTTAAAAAAATATATAGTATTAACGTTATAGTAACATATTGTAATTTAAATAATAATGAAATAAAATATAATATTAATTATTATTATTAGATTATTTTTTATTGTACAGTAGTAATAGTAGTTTCTTTATTTATTCACAATAAATATATTTTTTGTAGTGATAAAATAAAAGTATTATTTAGAACAATACCAACATTTATATGTATTATTATTAAATTCTCATTTTTATTGTACAGTATAATATTATTGCTGTGGTAATATATTTCTTATATTTCTTTGTAATATATTAATTTGTTTATTTTTTTGTAATTTTAATCATTAAAAGATTAAAGTATGATGATTTATTAAATTCTTGCTTTTTATTGTACATTATAATAGTATTATTGCAATAGTAATTTATTTGTATATATTATACATTTCTTAGTAATATTAATAATTTTTTTTGTAATTTAAGTAATAAAATATTATGATTATTATTAAATTCTAATTTTTGTATCTTGCAATAGAGTATCTCTTTATTGATTTAATTCTTGTAATTTAAATAATTGTTACGTCCCCTGGTGGCATAGAGGTATGAGGAAGACGTACATAATAAAATGTAAACACAACCCTATAATTTTGGTCTCTGGGGAGTACTGGGGGAGAATGACACAAGGACAACCGACATAACAATAAGTGGTTCGCTTTATTTACAAAAGGGAATATAATTTACACAAATGAAAACACCAACCAAAACCCTTATTTACAACTATATACAAAGAAAGGAAAAATACGGCTAATTTGGAAAGACTCGGAGAATAAGAAAATGAGCAGTGCAAAACAAAAGCCTTGTAAAATCATCGTCCCGATGATCACACCATTACATTTCTTTTACACTTCTAAAACTTTATACAAATTATCCTTCCATCACTTCTTTTATTTTATAAATCACCTGCAATAAATGATTTAAGACTGTCATAATTCCCTGAGACTCTCCATGACTCAACTCTACAGGGATTGCTGCAGCTTCCATACCTGCACAGATCGTGGCTGTCTAAAAGGATTGCTGTGCTGTCCTGCTGTGGCCCTCTGGGAGCGTCGAACTGTGCCTTCAAGCCCAGCGGTTTGTACAAATCGCTCCTCCACTCTGAGGCCTTCCTCTTCAGCACTTGTGACCCCAGATGACAGATTCTCAGGCAACACCACCCGAAGCTCCTCCCAGTCTTCATCTGACTCAGTCTCTAATTGTGCCATGCTTGTGCTTGACTCTGTACCTTGATGCTCACTTAACACTACAGGTTCTTTCTGTAGTGGTCCACAACGACGTAACTCCAAGCGATGCACATTTTTAGGTGGGTGCGATCGATCCACTGGCACTACCTTATACACTGCCTTATCTGAATCCAGTCTTTCCAACACGCAGTAAGGCAAATCCTCCCACACATCCTGGATCTTATTCCGTCCCCTCACTCTCTGATTCCGCCGATATACCAAATCACCTGGATTCAGACTAGCATCCTTCACTGCCCCTTGCTGTCTTCGTTGTCTCTGCGTGACTATGTTCTGTAGACGCTTCTGCGTCAGACTATAAGCTTGCTGAAGTCGGTGCTGATGTTCCACCACCCAGGTCTCCCTGGTACCTTCTTCCCTCCTTCTGCAACCCCCGGTCAACAGATGGTCAATTGGGAGATCCGGTCTTCTACCGAACATTAAGAAAAAAGGGGAAAATCCAGTGGTAGCATTTTCAGTCGTATTATATGCGAACACCACTTCATGCAAGTACTCATCCCATCTCAATTTCTTCTCCTGAGGAAGGACCCGGAGGAGGTCGTGCAACGTTCTATTAAAACGCTCACACTGCCCGTTACCTTGGGGGTGAAACGCTGTGGTTCGGCTCTTCTGTATACCATACACTTTACACAATTGCTGCACGATCTCAGCCTCAAAGCACCGACCCTGATCAGAATGAATCCGAGCTGGAACGCCGTATCGATGAATCCACTCCTTGACCAGGACCTTTGCCACTGTTACAGCCCTCTGATCAGCTGTGGGTACAGCAACTGTGAATTTAGAAAATACATCCGTTATCACAAGCACATTTTCTTTTCCACTCTGGGAGTGTTCCAACACTGTAAAGTCCAATGCCACCACTTCCAAGGGTTTTGACGCCTGAATGCTGTTCATTACTGTTCTTACTTTAGGCTGAACGTCTTTAGACACAATGCAACGGAGACAATGTTTGCAAAAATTCTGCACATCTTGGTACATCCCTGGCCAATAAAAGCGTTGACGTATTCATTTAAACGTTCGGTCAATCCCCATGGCCTTGGTGGTCGTGCGGCTGACTAAGTACCTCCTGTTTTAACACTTGAGGTAACAGAAGCTGTTTGACCCAGCCCCCTCTAGCATCTGCAACCATTCTATACAGGATCCCTTCAAACTCTTCCACTTTAACCCATTGTCTTTATCCCATTGTCCAGGTATTTCATGTAGGTAGTTTTAGTCACATTTTACATCATATTTTGTGAAGCTATTTCCTAAATGGGTTGTTGACATATATAGGCCTACCATACATGTGTCCTATGGTGTAACAGCAAATTTTAGAAAACAATAATCATTATTAATAATTAATTTCTTGTTAATAATTGTTAATAATATACAAATAGCATAAGAGAGATTTTTCTTCATTGTTAGTTTTTTTTCCTACATTTTTTCTGTCACACCATAGGACACATTTACGGTATATTTGTCAACTACCCAAATACATTTTGGTGTGGACTCTGTAAAGAAGAGACATCTTGGCAGTAACTGACTTGGATCCATAAAACAAACGATAAACGAAAAAATGAGAATGTTTTGAAACGAAGTTTCATCATATCCAGATGTTAGTCTTGGCAATCCTATCTCGAGCTGCCAGCCAATATTTCAATGGGACGGTCAGTGTTGGATAACGCACGTCACATTTCTCCTCACCTCCGTGAGCTGCCCACTTTCAGTTTGCGCTTTGCAACTTCGCAAGTGTCTCTCGGCTTGTCCGCTGGTGTGATGTGAACTACAGACTATACGGCTGCTTTCATGTAAATTCTGCTCGGTGTTTGCCCGGATCCTCATTCAAATAAGGGGGAAAGGAGAGTTTTGATGGATTTGTCGCTGCGTGTGCGATTTGGAGATACAGAGAACATCACCTCTATCACTGGCAGTATGAATGTCGCTATTACTGAATGACCTGCGGGCACACTATCATGTAAGTGTCATCGTTTAGTTTTTGTCATTTTTTATTTTCCTTCGGTTATGTAAGTCTTATGATAAATGTTGATGCTCTATTAGTCCATTAAATCTCGTTTTCTCACAGTGCTTTCGTTACTTTTAAAACTAGTGTCACAATTGAACAATTTTGCCACACAATTGTACTTTTGCCTTATTGCCACGTCTTAATATGCTTTCGAGATCTAATATTATGTAATTTAGGCGTGTGATGTATAACAAGACATTAGGCTGATAATGCATAGACATAATACAAGTTTTTGGTGTCATTCTATGAGGTGCCTTTTTAAGATATGTTGGGGAAATAGCTATGAAACATGGTAATCATTGTTGACAGTGTTACAGTTCATTTAGTCATTACAAGCATTGTGAGGTTATGACGCTACATGGCGTTCAGAGTATTAGAAAGAGAACTTAACACTGCTATTTCTACAAATTTCCACTTTTGGTAAGCACATTTTTACCATACAAAATCATCATAATGGTGTTGATTATTTAAGATTGTACCTCACTGACAAACCTAACAAAATATACAATAAGGCAATAAAAAAGTACCACAAAAGACACATCTTTGTCTTTTTAATAGAATATTATGTCCATATGAATCATATATAGTATATCTTTCATTTCAGTTTTTCAGTGTGCAGTGCAGCATAGAGGATTTGGAAACTCAAGACTGTGACAGGCAAAAAAGCATCAAGTGTCTAAAATAACACACATTAAAAGTAGGTTTCAGCTTTTCATTGTCAAATGTAATTATTTGCACATGTATTCAAGACGGACACAAAATAAACCCTTGACTTTATGT